TGTGCAGTGAGGAGGGGGACAGGAAACCCTCCCTGCACTTGCAGCTCCCAGCCTGTACCTTAATATTCGTTGACAAAGGTGCCAATCCTGCAGGATGACCCAGCAGGTGCTCATCTGCCACCAGGGACCTGTTGCAGCTGCCAATGAGATAACATGGAGCAAACACTGTAAAAATTAGAAAGCACAGGTCTGCAATTAAAACTTCATGGAAAAATCAAACACACACGCAACAGAGAAAGCACTGAGATGAAGATGCTCTTGGGAGTGAGGGCACAGGAGAAGGAAGAACAACTCACAGCAGTGTTTCATGGGGCCGCATGGTGCCAGTTCTTCAGCATGTCCCTCACGTACACCCAGAGCCTTCAATCAAGTTTAAAATTCAAGAAATGATCTCCTTCTTTCTCACTAAGCAGCAACTGCGTGGGCAACCTGAACAGAAGCAGCAATCAAGCCTGAGAAATGGCCTCCTGCCTGACTGCTTAAAGCTAAAACCAATGTGACTATCACCTACCAGCTCTGTCCCCCTTATCAAAGTCGCTGCCTTGACCCTGAATAGCTCCTGAAAGAGCATTTGACTTGGAGTTATTACTGCCTGCTTAATAAAGGAATTATGAATATTGCTGACCCAAACATTTTCATCAAAACTGATTTTCTTTTCCATGATATTGCATCCATTTCTAATTAGAATCTCTGCAGAAAACTATTTTTGGTGAAGAAGGCCAGCATTTCACACAGAAAATCTATTGTTTCCTTTAAATTCTGAAATATGCTTTAGGGTTTTGTTCCATGCTCTTCTTTTGACACTTAATTATACCAACAGTACTATTATAAATTATATCCAACTTTTTCATTATACACCAACCAGATAATGCTTTCATCTATAAGAAAATACATCACAAACAGCATCAAGCAGAGGCTTCTCTTAGTTTTCTTACCAGCAAAATTATAAAGCCAGATGAAATATTGTCAGACAGCATGATGCATTGCATCTACAGCCACCCTGTGATATGTCAGAACAACATAGGACCAGTTCCTGGAGCCCTCCAAGACCTTTCACCCAACACCTCAGCGTTACTCACGTCCAGGGTCACCGTGCTCCAGCACAGGTTCCTACTGGGAACTGCTGACCTCCAAGCAGAGCAAAACACACCCAGCCAGCAAGAAGGATGCTCCAGTCAAACATAAGAGCTGTGGTTTCCATTTAGACACATTCTTCCATCTCCTCTGGCCAGTAAAGCAGGGTCTCTTATCCCACACAACGTTGTGTGGCTGAATGAGGTCACCCAGGTGGCTGGCACAGCAGAAAGTTTTTATTTTTCCCCCAGGGTTCTGAAGATCTAAAGAGGAATTTCTTCTACACCCAGGTCACAAACCTGGTGCTATGACAGGACAGAGGAAAAGGAGTTCTGGGTTTGATTTTTTTTCTTTTTCATTTTTGCAAGAAGCCAGGTTATTAGCAAACTAATAAAAAATATTTAAATTGAATTAAAATTAATAACATCTAGAAGCAGAGAGAGCCACACTCCAAACTAATTGCAGCAAAAGCTTCCAGAAGCAGAGAGGAAACTCTTTGTAGAGAGGGTCAAGCCAATTAAAATGGCACTCCAAAAAAAACCCAACACTATTCTAAGTACCAGGTCTGCATGCTGAACTGAGGGCAACCAAACTGAATCACCTTCCTGCTCCCAGAGCCTCAGCTTTTCACCCCAGTTCAGCTTCACCCCTACCCTGTAGGCACCTTCTCCCCAAAAGAGAAGAGAGTTCCATGACCTTCAGTTTAAAGGCCAAGAGTGCAAAGTGGTCCCAGCTGCCCCAGTGGAGATGGAGCAAGAACACCAGATTGGGGTGTTTCCCAAATCTTGCACAGGGGGCCACTGCTGCAGTGGTGCTGCTAGTCCTAGGTGAAAGCAACTCTGTTTTAGGGATTGCCACATGGATACACCCTTCACTTGCCCCTGGACACAGGGTACCCTGGCAGGGATGAGGATCAGCACCGCTGATGGTCCCATGCTCGCTGTGTTGGGCAAGGGCAGCCCAGCTATGGGGTCCCCTTCTCCCAGTGCCCACCTGAACAAAGCCCATGACCTTCTCCTCAGGGTGAAAAGGAAGTGGCCTTGGCCATAAAAAAAACCCCATCTCTCTCTGTTTTTATCATCTCCTGGCTTTTTGGCCCCCATCCATGCAGCAGGCAGCAGATGTCTCTGAGCTCTGTCCTGAGTGAGGTTTTGGACTTTCTCCAGCTCACCTCTGAAACCTGTTCTCAGAGCTGTATCTGAGCCCCTTTCCAGAAAATTTCCACATTCTGGGAACCTAGGACTTCTCCGGACGTCCCCAGGCTGGAGAAGCTCAGCTCTGTCACCTTTGGGTCACAGGGGGTACCTTACCACCTCTCACCCATCCCCAGCATGGTGTACAGGCCCATGCCCATACTCTGGGGGTGGTGGCCCCAGGATGGAAAGCGTGGCCACAGCAGATGCAAAGCCACTCTCCTCCTTCATGGCTGGGGCTGTGAGTGGCAGCCCGGCTCTAGGTCAGGAGCCAGCTTAGGGGCTTCATGGCTGGGTGCCTCAGTCCTGCCAGGGTTTGGTTTGCAGCAGGACTCTCAGCAGCACTGACCCTCCTGCCTGTCCAAGCGAGGAGCCCAGTTTCCACTTGGTGGCAGCAACTGCAGCACCAGGTTGGCTCTTTGGGAGAGGCTCCTCACCCGTGTGCAGGACTTGCCTTTGCCTTGCACAAAGCTGGGGAAGAGCACTAGGGATCTAACAGCTGCTCTAGGTATTCCTGCACCCAGAAGGCATTGACACCATGGTCCTTCCTGGCTGCAAGATGTCTTGCATCAAGGTCAAACCCCATGACTAATGACATATTGCCCTGACGTCACCTCTAGTCTCCCTGCAGGTGCACCCCTCTCCTCAGACGCTGCATTTCCCACACCTCAGATGTGGTAACGTGCAATGTGGATGGTGCTTCTGCAGAGAAACGTCTCCACTGGATAAATGCTTTCTGTGTCCTCCTGCTGCTGCCACAAGTAAAGCCAGGCTGTGCTCAGAGGAACCACACACACAAGTTATTTCTAAATCCAACAGGGAAGGCATCAACTTGTGGTTGTCTTTTGAGGTCAAAAGAGAGCACAAAGCATCCTATAAATTGACAAACAAGTCAGAATACATTGAATAAATATCTGCCTATTAGTTCTGCTCCAAGTTCCCACAAAAGCCTGAAGGGAAAAAAACTTTTCCTTGATAAACAATGAGCTACTGTTTTCCTGGCCAGGTCATCCCTCCTGGTAATAGCAGAATGTCTTAGGCTAAAAATGTAAATTGATTTGGGGATGATCCTCCAAGTATCATTCTTTAAAGGGACTATTATTATTGCACACTGGAAGAGAGCCTGTTCCAGAGAACATGCCCCATTAGCAGTGATTTATCTGCACTGCCATATTTTTTCATTAATCTTAAATTCAAATGCATTTTTCTCTCCTATGTGGCAAAGAGGTACCTACTCCAGATCAGCTGCGGGTGCTCCCCAGGATGGCATCACATACCCACATGGCCCACACCAGCAAAACTGCCCAGCAGGCCTCAGAGGAGCAACGGGGCAGCCCTGGGAAGGCAGCAGCCGACACTCATCCCGCTGTCGCTGCACGAAGCCGGCAGCCTCATCAGGCTCTTCACTTTGAGGACCAAGCAAATATTTAACAAGTTCCCCTTGCACTGTACCAGAGTTCATTATCTGGTCTCCTGAGCTTCTTCAGTCAGTAATATCCTCTAATTGATGTGATTTGGCACTTGGCCACAGAGTTAAATTGATTTGTAGACCAGCGGGAGACGGCAGATGCCCTTTACACTTGAGAAAAGTGGCATGTGGCTTTGTTTACTGCCTGCTGCAGGGGGATGCCATGGCACGAGGGCTTTGAGGAGTGCAGGAAGAGGGTCTGCCTCCTCAGTGTCCTCTCACCACAGCCCCTGTTAGGTGACAAGGTGTGACTGCCATCAGTGAGCACTTGGGGATCGCTCCAGCCATGAAGTCCAGCCTCCCTCCTTGCCTCCAGGGAAGCTGGTGCACAGCGGGAGAGAAATGGGGAATTCTCTTTGCTAAAACCAGGCAAGACACACGAGGTATCTCAAAACATGCTGTCTTTTGAGGGGTGCCCCAGCACAAGCTCCCATCTTGGGGCTGGCATCAATCAGTGTTCTGAGGAATGGAGAGGTGCCTCTCCTTGTGTAAGGGCAGGAGAAGCAGGAAGAACCCACCTGGTCCTGGGGCGAGGGGAAGGCAGCAGCTGGAGGCTGCAGCCTGCAGGGCTTTGTCTCCAGCAGCTCGTCAGTGCTGCAGTGGAAGGGTTGAGCTCTAAGGCATGCACAGATTTCCTTTCTAAGATACAGGATTTTAGTGTGGAGCCTTCGTGGTTGGCCTTGGTTGTTTGTTGGTGGGTTGAGTTTTATTGTACAGAAGCCATCTCTGTTTCACCTTTCTAAAGGCATTCAGCATGTCTAATACTTTTTTTGGTTTGCTTTCCTGTTGCTTTCAGTTGCATTCATGATCACATTTGAAAATGGCTTTGTTACAAATTAGTTTAGGGGATAGTCATGTAACATTTTTACTCAGGACAGTCTAGAAGATTTTAGCATCTATATGGAACTTCTCTTCAGGATTTTACCACCAGCATATTAAAACCAAAAAAACCCAAGAAGACAGCATTCGCTCTCAGCTGCTATCTTCAACCTAATACTCTGAATATCTAAGTTCAGTTGAAAGCCTCTTTTTATAATGATGAAAAAATAGTAATATAATAGAGTTAAGAATCTCACTTTCCATTTCAATCATCCTATTCTTATCCAGAGAATTTTAAACTAGCATTGATCTTATCTCACCAGAAAGCTACATGCACCTTTAAGATATTTATTGATAATTAAAAATAATGAGATACCAATCACTCTTATAAAAATAATAAATCTGAATAAAGCATCATGACTGTTAGAGGTGGGGGGAGAGTTTCTTCTCCTTGGATGTCATCTTACTCCAGTCATCATGGACCCGACAGGGCTGGAAGGATTTTTCCTGAGCACTGGCCAAATCCCACACGGAAGCCGTTGCCCTGGCAGTAACCTAAAGCCAGAAAAACAACAGACAGGTTGCTCGGTAAGGACAGCAGGATTTTACCAGGAATAACAGTGAATAAAAGACATAAAGAGATCAAAAATTAGTGGAAACATTTCAGAAATGCAATAAGGGGTTAAAAAAAAAATCAAACCCAACAAACACCTGGAAGAGTTCAAGCAGACCAGGAATATAAATTTAAAAAAAAAAAAGAAAAAAAAGAAAGAAAAATGAAAAAAGAAGCACAGAATGTTGAACACAGCAATGTGGAAGTTCATTGAGTTGATCAAAAAGCAAATAAGATGTGCCTTATTTCTATTCTCAAACCTAACCTGCAGCATCATCAGTTTAACTGGAAAGTTGATTCACTGCCTGGCCCAGCCTTACAATTAATAAAGTAAATCTGGATTTGCTTTCTGCAGCATTAGGACTGCTCTTGGGACAGTAAGATGTTTATAGCTGGAGAGAGGATCATTAAAACCCCTCAAACAGCAGGACCTGCCCTTGCAGGATCCGGCTGAAATAGTTCAATTCCATGAGAAACTCTGCTTCTGACTTAAAATATTCATTTATCCTCTATTATATAAACAGTCATTGAAGGTCTGCTGACTGCTGCTGAAGTTACCAGCCTGTGACAACATCTCTAACTAAAGGACGCTCCAGTCTCTCCCCACTCCTGTGTGATGGGGGAGATGACATTGGGATGGAGATGCTGCAGCTGAGCTGCTCCAGAACAGCATCCAGTACCAAAGCTGCAGATAAGGAAGGGAAGGGACACAGACAGGGGCTCCTGGCCCATCTGGGAAGACTAGCCTGGCAAGAAACAGCTGAGGAGACCTACTGTAGCTCTCTGCTACGACAGCTGATCAAAGGAAGGACACAAATGACATATGCTGTACTTTAAGGACAGATTTCATAGTTAAGAGATGGGTTTTCCTAAAATAATGGAATATATCATCTTCCCTGCATGTGATAAAAACCAGCTGCCTTCGCAAAGCCAAGAGGGAACTGAACAGAACAGACCTCAACCCTCAATGAATAACCCTTAGCATGAATCAATGGAAGCATCCTCCAAGGAAGAGGAGGGTGGGTGGGCTCAGGCTGCAGGGCGGGCAGAGTTATTGCAGCGTGAGGACAGGCCCTGCCAGCTGTGCCCACAGAGCAGCCCTCACAGCCAGACTGGAAGGAAGTTTTCCCAAGGACAGCAGAGTCTGTAAGTGCTTGCATAACAGCCTGCCCACAGACACCATCCTGGGGCCTGGCGGGCGAGCCTCCCTCGTAAGCAGTACTTAAGCAAGGCACTTGCTTTAAGGCTCAGCTCAGGTTCCATTTGTCTGTTTGTCTCATCAGGCTCCATTGCCAGCCTTCCTTTAAGTGCTGGCTTATTCTTCCAGTCCAGTTTGGTTATCCCCAGTGTCAACTACGATTTAGAGCAGTACCAGGGAACAGCACATCTAATGAAGCAAGCTCTGTGCTGCCAGCAGCAGAGGCCTGAGCACAGTGCCAAGGAGTTACAGAGAGATTTTTGCAGCCGGCTGCAGCACACCATCAGCAGCCCTTCCCTTGCAATGCTCCCCCCCTCCCCGAAATTCACTTCTGGGGAAAAATATCCCTCTCTCATTTTATGCATTAGGGCTCTGAAATAGCTCCCATAAGGGGAGCTAGAACACAAAGTTGAAGTAGGAGACTAGAAATTATGGGTTGGGCACCTGGTGAGAGCTAATGGCAGTGCCATGGGAGAGGATGCAATAGCACTAGTCCTGCCTTAGGGGTGCCTTGAGACACTGTACCTGCCATACATCACTAAACAGGAGCAGGTCCCAAACTGCCCCAGCAGCACCTGGCTCTCAGGAATGGTGTGATGTCCTCATCACCACAATCAAACACTCTTGCTAGTGTAAAATATCACAGCAGACTCATAAACATGAGACTGCCCGACTGGGGCAATGGTGCTCCAACCAGTGTAACAACAATGCCTTCATGTCATCTTTAAAGATTAAAGACATTTGGGATTTAAAGCATTTATTTAAGTAACACAGCTTGTTTTGAGTCATGGTCTAGTCCCTTTGTCCCTCATCTGGTCACCTTGTGCCAGCAGCTCTCAAACTGCAAGGTTCTCATTGCCAGTAAGGATATCAGCACGTAACTCCAAAGGGGCGTTCATAATATCTAACTGTACCCTGATTTAGGGCTCCTGGCATAGTTACTGGAGGGAGATCTGTAGCTCTGCAGGGCAATGTGGTACTCTGAACTTCTGGAGGGGTGTCTCTTTGCACTGAATGTATAGGGAGCCTATGGAGAGCAGCATCAGATGCCCACCTATTGCAGCATGAGTAGTCGCTGGGCTGTTGGGAGGTCTTGAGGCATTGGGGACTCCTCAGTTTCATCTATGGCTCTCTCCAGTGCATCTCAATCTCCAGTTGTCTCAGCATCTTCCTCTGCAAAACTGGCAGCACCTCACAGAAACATGATTTTCAAAGCTATTGCACAGGTGGTCAGACAGGAGGCACTGTGCCTACAGCACTACCAAAACCACTTACAGAGACAACACTGGGAGGCTGGAATACATCCAGCTATTATTTTTTTTACATCACAGAAAATTTCTTGGGTTTTGTTAAAAAGCTTTCTGAAAAAAATGAGAAATTTTAGACTGTTTTGGCAAAAATCCCTTACGTCCTGGTTGGATTAAGCAGGCACAGGTATGTGAACACATACTGGCATCACACTGTCATGTCCTTCAGGTCGTTGCACAGGCACCAGTCACTCACATTTTCTCTGCCTTAAGTCACATTTGTGTTTTCACATCTCTTGAGCCATTTTGTTCTCTGTGCAGACTATCTCTGATCTCATCAGCATGAGGAAGTTGCTCAGAGCCAGGTGTGGCACTTGCTGGGTCTCATCTGATGATGCACAACATGCCACAAGACACTCTCTAAAAATTCAGTAGGGGACATAGCAAGGACATACAGGCTTGAATCAGAAGTTTCTCATGGTGGTTCCTGCCAAATATTTTCCACCTCAAAGCCATAAAGGGGTTGAAAATATGAGAAGAAAGGAAAAAATAGGTTTCTTTCGGACCAGTCTTTGGATTAAAAAGAAGTAGGAGTGGGATTTAGATCACAGAACACTGTGGTAGATTTTAATTCATAAAATACTTAGTTTATGAAGGTGAAAATTAAAACAATGGCCGCGTATTTACTGCAGGGACACTTCTATCCACCTCCTTTCGCCTCCTGACAGGTAGGATGGAAACAACTGGGCTTGTGTGGCAGACATGTACAGAATAGCCCATCTCCCCTCCGGGTGCTCACACCACTGGGATCAATCAGTGGAAAGACCCCTGGGTGCAGTGCCAGAGCAGCTGCTCGGCCATTACCTGTCAGAATGATTTCATCTCCATCCTGCAGGAACTTCCGAGACTGCCCATTGCCAAGAGGGATTTCTTTTGTTCCATTCCAGGACAGCTCCAGCATGGAGCCAAAGCTCTCTGGCTCCTGCAACAAGAGTTTATGAACAAATAAACAACTTTTTAGTATCTGTCCTGCTGGGAAGCTGCTTGCTGCTGGAAGGAGACACACAACTAGGTTAGCTCTGTAGAACAAGGTCTTGCTGTTGGTTTAATTCATTGATACATTGGCTTGTGTTCCTGCCTTTGCAGTTTAATTGTTTTACAGCTGTTATCTGGTGTGTTCAACATAATACTAAAGCCTTTAAAAGTGGTTTGAGTCTGCTACAGGGGGAGTGGGAACAAATGGAAGGTGCTTTTGCACATCCAGTGCTTTTACGTAGTCACGTTTTGGACTTTTATTTACATTTTGTTCAGAAGAGCAAAGCTGAGAAATTTTTGTAAGTCTTTAATGTCAGCGTGCAGTACAATAGCTTGAGCAAAGCAAAAAGCACCAGAAATACTTCAAAATGGAAGTACAGGTATCCCAACTTGGAAACAACTTACCTGGGGCTGACTATCAGACAGCATGAACAGGATTTATGCCAGTTCAAGGGGAATAGTCCTTGTGAATTTAGTCTGAATATGTAGTATTAGAGAAACTAAAAGTTATACCCATGCACCTTTTACATTCTTCTCAGAAATAAAAAACGCCCGTTTCACAGAGCATGAACAGGCCACGTGGATGCTTGTGCACAGAAATTAACTTGCATACATAGTAAAATAATTCTGAGGGAAAGGAATACAGGAGAGATTCAATCCCAAAAACCGGCAACAATATAAAAAAAAAAACAAACCACCAATTCTCAGTCTGGTTTTGGGGCTACCAAAGCATCAGCCAAAAGTGCCTAGGAAAGAACTGCAGACGTTTTCATGACTGCTCAAATCAATCAGGGCTAAGAACCAAAGCCCTGCTCAGCTGGGCTTGGATTGCTGACCAGCTCCCAGTGACTGTCATTATTTAAACACTTACAGGTCCACTGATTGTGCCAGAGGCCAGGAGATCTCCAGGTCTGAGGTTGCACCCATTGATCGAATGATGAGCCAGCTGCTGTTTCATGGTCCAGTACATGTGCTGGAGGAAGGAGGAAGAGGAGGCTAAAGCAATGAAGGGCAAACCTTTCTGGGGTGCCATTAGACTATGCACAACGTCTTGCATTCTCAGGATGATGCTGGTAAGACTGTCCCTAAAGAAAAGTTTCCTTATTTGATTAGAAACCTTCAACAGCCTAAAAGCAACCTCCACAGGTATGTAGTGCTGCATTCTCTGCAGTTACTGTGGCCTGGCTGATTGATTTCTCAGTATGACCAGGAGCTGTTATGTGTATATAAAACACATATTTTAACATGCAATTTAGTCCCTAAAATTTCTCTCAATTCATCTGTATGTCATTTCTCTTCTTCTCCTTCCTCTTTGGGACCAGCACTGCTGATCCAGGATCCGTGATTAAGTCCAGTATTTTAATGGCTTTATAGAAAAATCTCCTTATTACTGATTTGCTGACTACTGATTGACTGATTAAGGTAATTACTATGCAAAGAACCAAATGTGAATATAAAATTGGTGGGGAAATCCTGCAGCTGGTAAATATACCTCCTGGCTTCCATCAGCATGCAGAGGCTCTTCTCCCTCTGTCCCAAATGGACACGTATACCAGGTTTGATCTTCAACTAATGCAAAAGCTGGTGTTTGAAGTGGCCTAAGGCTGGAGCTGATGGCACCAGCAAAACTTCAAAAAAATAAAAGACACTGGTATCTTACCTTGAAATTGGATCTGCATATAGTAGTTGGCATGTTCATTCCTTCTCCTGCAGAAAATAAAAATAAGAATCAGAGAAGCAATTTGTCCATGTTGGACAAATGAGGTTGGAGTCTTCTGATTTTAAAGATGGATGAAGACTTCTTTTATCATTGTAATCCTTAGGAAGAAACAACTAATAATGTTTTCTACTGATGTGAAGGCACCAGGGTAGCATCAAGCTGCCCATTTCCAACTCTCTGGTCTAGTACAGGAGCAATACCAGTCAGCAGGGCCATGAGCTGGGGGATGAGCTGGGTTAACATCTGAATCCCACATATAACTGCTCTTTCCATGCCCTGCTTACCCCTGTCCACGAGGCAGACCCCACAGGGACCCTCCTCATCCACCCTGACCATCTGGGAGGCGTTCCCTCCTTGACACATTGCTGCATGGCCAGCGGGGGGCATGAAGAGTTTTACAACTTTCTCTCAGAGAGGCAGTCTGGGCAGAGATGGAAAAGGAGGACTGCAAAGCCAAGACTAAATTGTCTGAAATATATGCTGGTTCTGCATTCCTTAATTGGCAACTTCAGCTTCCTAACCCACTCAGCTTTGCCATACCTTTAATAGCAACAAAGAGCTTGATGTCAAAAGTGTAGGGTTCTTTATCCTGAAGGTAGGGCAGCGGCTTGGGATCCTAAAAGCATACAAAAGGAACCACAGTCTAAACAAACAGAAAGGAAAAATTCCATGAGCCATCCCTCTGACTTTTTGTTTAACCAGCCTGTGCTGCACACTCCATTGACTTCACTGTTGTTACTGCTCAGATTATTGCTTTGCTTGCTCTCGTGCACACACGTTTAAAGATCTTTGTGAACAGATCAGATAGCTGTATAATCCATTCCTTTTTCTGCATCCAGGCTCCAAAAGCCCCCTCCATCATTACAGTGTGGATGCTAACCCAAAACAAATGCAGTGCTAGCACAGAGAAGATGGTGAGTTCTCTACAAGACTCTTAGCTCTTTTAACTAAACATCTACAAAAAGCAGGCAACTGGAAATGCTTGAACAAAGTGTTTTGGCTGGAGTCCACTCAGTCTTCCCTGCTTTGCTGGATGCTAAATGCTATCCAGTGCTGATAATAACCTCTCTGATCAGTTTATTTTCCAGGAGTTTTAAAGGAGATGATTTTTCTGCCCTGATAGAGCAGGTGGGATAACAGCTCAGGGCACCATGTGCCAGCAGCAATGACACCAGTGAATATTTGAACTCAGAGGGCCCAAGGTGCCTTTATATGTTCAGAAGCAGGATCACACTTGTAAATTCTATAAAGAAAGTGCTTGGCATTGATAGAGCTCAGTGATCCCTACTGAAGGGACCTCCCAATCAATGCTATTTCTAGAACTGTTTTTCCTTTATTTCAACCTTTTTTCTTGCTAACCTGGACAGGGTTTGGCAACACAAATGGCATGAGAGCATCCATGGTAACAACCCAAGGAGAGATGGTCGTGCCAAAGCTCTTGCTCAGGAATGGACCCAGAGGGACATATTCCCATTTCTGGATGTCACGGGCTAGGAAGAAAAAATTCAAAGCAATGGTGTTAAACGTGCCCTAGGAGTTGTGCAACCATCCCACCTGTGAAAGAATAACATGGATTGGAAATGTTATCACCACTCTTTCCTAGCCAGTGTGCCCAAATCCTGATTTAAATCCATCCCTTTCAGACCTTCAAACCAATTTTCTTGGACTAGCTAGATTAGGAAGAAAAATCAGCAATAATTAAAACAAGTCAGCCCATCCACATAGAACTACCATTTTTATCCCCAGTTTAGTTGATGCTTTTAAACCCAGCTGAAGGTCCATGCTAGTCACAGTGCCAATTTCAACTGGTTAAATCTGTGCAGAGACTGAGGGATTTGTGATTGCCAAATCGTTTTCATGCTCCTGACACTGAAATCAATCCTCTGTTGGAATCACCATCCTTAGGGCTGCTTCATCCCTGGGCAGAAGAAACTAGACTGATAATAGCTCTTTCATAAGTAAATAAATCTTCATTAGGAAGCAATTCCTGGTCCTGCTGATTGATTGAAGATGGATTGAGATTGAGCCTGAGAAATGCAGACAGCATTTCATTTTCATCCCTTTCAACAGTACCCGGTGGTTCCCATGATCACTATTCTACCAGGAATACATAGAATTTATCCCTGGTCACTGTAGCCCCCTCTCCAGGCAGCCTCCCACAGCACCAGTTACCGCTCCAGTCATTCATAAGGACCATTCCAAAGATGTGCTCCTGGGCTTTGCTGATAGGAATTGGCTCCCCATACTTGTTTCCAGGACCTACAAAGAACGCCTGAAATAGAAGAGCAAAATCTTGATTAAAGGAAGTTTTTGAAGTTAAAAATCCTCACTGCACAGAGGGTTAGCAACAAGCAACACACAAGCAACAGAGGCTGGACAGGATGGGGGTTTGCATCATTTCCCATACACAATTAGACAAACCCCATGGCTTACTCCCTCTTTCTTCCCTTCCATGAAGCTGGCAGGCTGGAAATACAGAAGAGCACTGTGTTGCTAAGAGACAGCCATTAAACAAGGGCATGATGTTGTCAAAGCACAGGAGCAAAAATGGTCCCTCCTAATTACAACGCGGATGCAGAACAGGTTTGCCCACTGAAGTGAGTGTTTTCTTCAGACAGTGAACAGGAAAGAGTTTAAAATCATCTGAGGGGTTGCTGAATGCAGCTGGAGCCTGTTGTGACAGTGGGGAAGAGGAGGCAGATGGAGAAATGTGCCCATGAAGTAGAACAGGTCATGAGCTGGGTGCCTGTGTTTGCTCCCTTAGAAACTGTACAGCCTGAGCATGTGGCAGAGTTCTACAGGGAATCTCACTTGTCTCTTCCGGCCACTGGTATGGAAGTTTTTTCTCCCAAGGCCTTCAGCAGCCTAAACCCACTCTCACAGCAGCCAGCAGTAACGTTCAGGCTGCAAAGCAGAGGTATGGCAGCATGCCGTGTACCCCACTTTATGGGACTGCCTCCCACTAAGTCACAAAAAGATGCACCTTCCAAGGATGTTTGGATACAACACCCACAGTGCAGGTTTCATCCTTGCAGCCAAAACCAGATGACAGGCTGTGGTGTCTGATAAAGAGAATTATGCCTGCTTGCTTCCAGACTCTTGCCCTAGTGCTTGTATTTGGCCAGATGAGCTGTCCCCAGCCTGAAAGCGGTATTAGCAAACCACTCTGTGAGCTAATGCACCCTGCAGCTCATCAGAGGGGAAGGTTTCCCCCATGGAAACCTTTCTTGCCTGCTGCACAGACTGCTCAGAGGGAAGCAGGACTGGAACCTGTGAAGATTCTCATTTTAGAAGAAGCCAAACCTATCTTCCCTGCCTCTATTTAAGGCTTTTCAAGTTGTAGGGAGAGAAAAAAAACCCATCTTACCATTTCTAACTCAATATCCAGACGCTTACAAGCACCAAACACTGGAGGTTTGTCTGTGGGTAGAAGAAAGTGTATTTTATGACAGGAAGGCAGGTAGGGAAATACAACTAAAAGCTAGAAAAAAACCACAGCAGTTCAGGCTGCCTGGTTTGCTAACAAGAGATGTGGCCTTCTCTTGCCCTGACTCTAGGCTGGGCTTTAGACAAGGCATCCCAGACCCTTCCTCTCCACTAATCTATGATGTGGAGTAAAAATAAAAATAAAAAAAAAATGAAGTGAAAAAAAGAAGCCACATTAGAAGCCTACCATGGACTCACCATTGTCAGGTCTCATTTGCCCCACGGGTCTCCGGATGGGTGTCCCAGACACCACGACGGACGATGCCCGGCTGTGATAACCAACAGGTAAGTGCAGCCTTGTGAAAGAGCACCACACACAGCGAGTTAGTTGTGTAACCATCACCTCCCAAGAGCAGCTTTTTGGGGTGGAAGCACCACGGGGGTGTGAGGTACGAGGAGGGAGCTCTGCACAAATGGGCACAGACATCTGCACCAGAAAGGTGCTCTGAGATAGGGACAAAAGATAATCCAAAGCCAGGTGGCTGTGTTAATGCACTTCTGTGCCACTGCTCCACTTAGTTCCTTGGAGCTTAAACCCTGCTTTCTTGTCACTCAGCAAAACCCAATTTCTTCGGTAAATCTGTCTTTGAACCTGAGGTCTGCACTGTAATCAGTGCAGACTCGGCTTAGGCTGGGGAAGTGGGGTTTTCAGCTCTGCTATAGAACCCTTGGCAATACAGATTGTCATCCTCTGTGAACCGAAACCAGTATTTTGCTGAAAGACTGATCAGATCTTGAACAGTTATAGTTATGTACGGATAAGCATGAAAACTAATGTTCCACCAGAGAAAAACCTGAACTACCCACCAGTTTGGCATCAAAGCGTTCTCCTTCCCCCTGAACATGATGCCAACGTTTGTGGCATGTTGTCGAGAAGAGTAGAAGTCAGTGTAGTCTCCTGTGGGGAAAGAAGCCCATAAAATAGGGATCAATGGTAGGAAAATCCATCATCTGCTGGGGCTAAAGCACATTGCATTGCACACTGCTGGCAGAAAAGGAGATAGCGAGAGCACTAAGCAGAGGCACGGAGCAACATTTAATATTACTAGCACAGGGATGTAATTAATAGCTTAAAGGTGGTGATTAACAGCTCACCTATAAAGCACGAGCACAAAACTGGCCTTTTTTTTTGAAGCCTCCAGAAGAGAAGAAGGGGGAAAGCGCAAGGACCTGAAGCAGCAGCCAGCTTTCCAGAGGCAAGCCAAGACCACTGCTCTTTTTGTCTTGGTGGTGGTGTCCAGGTGGAGGAATCGGCTCATACTCAGGACATCTGCTGCCCTCTGCTGCCATCCCTGGCAAACAGCTCCCACCGCTCAGATTCGCGGGAAAGCAGAGGGTTTGGGGAGAAAAAAAACTCAGCTTGGAAGGGGGTATTTACATTATGTTCAGTTGTTTTGCTTGGCAGGAAAAATGGGCAGTAACACCCCTGCTCCCATGAGGGTCACATCCCTCAAGTGATTTTGATCAGGTTGGTTTGGGTCCAAACATAAATTTCTGTTAAAAACAGGAAAATGTTTCTCTATCCATATGGATACACTAACTCCAAAGCAGTCCATGGCCTCATAGGAGTGGAGGTCAGATTTGGGATGCAGAGGAATAGTCGAGGAGTGGAGATATGCTTTTTATGAGGCTATGCCAGAGTAGCTGCCCTGCAGAACTTCGGAAGATCTGAGTTATTTTCTGATGGCAAATGGGGAAAATGTGAGAAACTGAACAAGTGTTTCTTCTCTGGCTCTAGCCGCAAAGGCCTTTGGTGATGCCAAGATGATGACAAGAGTTATGTGGCACCAGACAACCCTGATTTAGTGAAAATTGCATCCAGGAATGTTCTGACTGCTATCGAGCTTCCCGAGGCTTTTATTCTTGCGCCACAGACAGCACCTACCTTTCATTCCGTACAATAAACTACTTCTGGCTCCTGCAAAACCCATTCCCTGTCACGGCTATGATCTGTCTGTCTGAGCTAGCTGGGAATAAAGCAGCTTCTCCAGGCAGGAGCAAAGGGCAGCACTGAGCAGCCCTCGGGTGGGGAAGGCTCACCGATATGAGCTGGCAGGTGCATGGTCGCAGAAGCTTGAGGTACAAATGCTCTGAAATGAAAAATGACAACTTCAGCTCCCAGAAAACTTGTGGCTCTCGCCCATAAGTGGTTTATAGGCATGTGAGAGGCTGACTTGCTCTCCAGCTCCTTCCTTAATTTATTTTGCAAAGCCTCGCAGCGAAAAATCTTTGCAGCAAACAGAAGCTGGCTGCACAAGCTGCTGTTACTGGAATGGTTATGGCCCAAAGGAGCATCCACTGGAGGCACACCTGAGGCCCCAGGGGCACAGACAAACACCCCGTGCCCATGAGGAGCAGGTCACTGCTGCCTCTGCTGCAAGGAAAGTATGATTTTATGGGATGCATCTCTTAGGGTGCCCAATTCGAACTGCTGAGCCTGCTCTGGGAAGGTCCCTATGTCAAGCAGACATTCATCCCTTCTTCTCCACACACGTGCTTAAAGCACCCTGGCAAGACAGGGAGGAACAGCTCTGGGGCAGGCAGCATTTAAAGCAGCACTCTGGACAAACAAGAATGTGGGTGATTAATGGGCGCACATCTTTCCTATCAGCGCAGCACACAGCAGAGCACAGCCCTCCCCCGACTTCTACACCAGGGTGCTGCCCCGTCTCTGAAACCAGTTTGTGACCACACGTTTGGTTTGGGTGAAGTCAGGCCGTGTGTGAGGAGCAATTGGAGAGATGTCCCCATGCTAGTAGATGCCCCAGGTGGGACAGGCAGGGCAGCGCTTGGGGAGGAGGGAGAGGTGGGGTGGGGACCCTTGCAGCCACGTCTCCCTCAAAGGTTGGGGTGAAGGGGATGGGGTCAGAGTGCCAGCCTGGCCCCAGGCCTGCCTGGGCGGAGAGGCGGCAGGCCTGGGCACAGCCCAGGGCCCAGCTCGGCGTTCCCGGGCAGAGGGTGACACCCTGCATCTGTGGGCACTTAAAAGATTAAGCGAGACATAATTAAAGAGAGGGAAGCTCTCAACACGCTCAAACCGCAGTTAATTCCCATGCAGGGGCAGGTGGCCACGTCCAGACCCTTGGTTTGGGTGGGCAGGATCCCCGCGGGCAGGGCCGCGAGGCTGGGGCGCCCGCGCCTGGCCCTCACCTCCTCC